TGCACTGTTTAGTTTTTAATTAATGTTGATCCCTTAATGTTTTAACCATCTCTTTGGATTTCCTCCAACCCCTCAGACTTGAAAGGCAATCATGTCAGTCGTTTAGAAGTAAGTAATACACAAAATACCATCACTATCACTAATACCATGTGGGACACACATAATTGATGTATCTCTTGGTATCTGTAGGCGCTCATGAACCAAGCACTACGCATCAGGAGCAACAAGATGAAGGTTTGTTATGAACATTTCAACTGAACATTACACACACACACACACACACACACACACACACACACACACACACACACACACACACACACACACACACACACACACACACACACACACACACACACACACACACACACACACACACACACACACACACACACACACACACACACACACACACACACACACACACACACACACACACACATTTCTTTCCCCTTGGACCATAACATCAGAAAAGAGGCACTGAAATAGTTAATACAAATTAACTGAATACTATCATATGCTACGCTTCACAGGTGTATTGACAGCACAAGTCCAGCCCTCCAGAAGTGTCACTGGTGATAGGCCACAAGAAGGTGAGTTGTGAGTGTGCAGGTTTATGTTCACACATCATTTTGGTGCTTAATAGATTGATGAATTAATAAATTGTTACTATATGTATAATATCAACTTAAAAAATAAACCTTTAATTTAAATATTTTTCCCTCTTAGATATCGCATCAGATGACGTCTCTCTTGTGGATAACATGATGGAGGAAATGAAAAGTCGTTGCCAGGATCCACATTTCACTGCTGGGCTACTGGCAATGGCTAAGCAGTACAATGTCCTGAGAAGCAACCCCTCCAAACTGCTGTCAGCCTTCCATTCCTTTGGGAAATCTGGCAGCCTGACCAGCAAAAGGGCCGCCATTTTAAGGCGGGCTTCCAGACGTCAAGGCCCGATGATTGGCTGCCAGCCTACAGCTGTTGCACGCAGGAAGTCAGGCGCTGGCTCAAGACGGCGTTTATTTTCTGGGCGCCCTGTGAAACAGCACAATTTAAGTTTGGCAGTGGTGTTGAACACCAGCCATTCAAAAAAACATTAATGTATTTATTGTATCCCTCTGTTTAGAGGCAGGACACTTCAGTGCCCCTCTACACCCTCTGACTCCTCGTCACCCCCATCCCTCTGTTTAGAGGCAGGACACTAGTCAGTGCCCCTCTACACCCTTTATGTATCTGTTTGTATATGTGTATGCCTTTCTTTCTCATTTGTTTTTCACCTTATGTCTTTGTCATGTCTTATCCCATTTATGGCCTGTACCTTGTCGTGGTAAGTGGGCTTTTTACCAAATCAGGCCTCAAGGTGTATCTCAAATGCTGAAATATAACCTCCCTGTTAATACAAATCCATTACCCTACATCACAGTATGAAATGACTAAAGGTCCACTGCCCTCTGCAGTCATGAAATCTTTCCAGAGGCTGGTGTTGATCCAACCTAAAGGACATCACATGACCCCTGCTTGACCTCCTGCAGTTGATGCAAACAGGTAAGTGGATCATGCAGTCAACTTGGGATTGTATCCTGGGACTTCAGCTCAGCATTCAGCAGTCCCCTGCTCCTACCTCACCCCTCCCACTGTCCCAGCCTTCACCTGGTGAGACATATACACCAATTAAAAGGCATGATTATTACAGTCAACCCTTATTCAGAGTGCCTAAATGTATATATTTTTTTACAGTGCAGATTTTGGCTTTTTTGGGACCATCGCACATGTGTGTAAGTAACAAGTAATGCTGTATAATCTGCAACAACTGTCAGGTGGTGTTATTGATAATCTTTGCAAAAGAGCCCCCACCAATATTGATTTTGACAAATATCTTTTAATTGAAATATGGGAGCAAAAACAAAAGGGTAGAATTGATCATATCATATTATGTTATTATTATTGCAACTGTTTTTATTATATTGTGTTGTTTATATATATATATATATATATATATATATATATATATTGTGTTGTTTGTTTATATATATATATATATATATATATATTTATGTGTGTGTGTGTATATATATATATGTGTGTGTATATATATATATATATATATATATATGTGTGTGTGTGTACAAATGATTATTGCAACTGTGTTTATTATATTGTGTTGTTTTGTTTGTGTGTGTTTATTTATACACACATATATATATGTATGTGTGTGTGTGTACAAATGAATTAATATAAAGTGTATATGTGAGTGCGTGTATAAATGAATGAATAAATCTGTGTATAAATGAATAAATACACGTGTGAGTACATATAAGTGTGTGTTTATATATATATGTTTATAAATGTGTGTATATATATAAAAACAGTATGTGTGTATATAAATGAATTAATAAAAGTGTATATATATATATAAAATAGTATCATTAAATAATGCTGTCAGATAAATGAAGTACACAGTAATAGTTAAGGTTATAGTCAATATTCTGCACTTACACCAGCTGATAAGATCTTTAAAACGTCTTTTGTTTGTCCTGAAAACGAAATTTGAGGATACACACAGGCTATTTATAGATGATAAAACACCAGTAATACAATCTCAGGACTCTTCGATATGGCTTTGATTATAGGATCGTTTACTTTCAGTCAAACCAACTATTCAATATTCTGCTTTACCGCGACAGCTATAACTGCCGAAGATGAAGTCTATGACGCTATCACGTAGAGCTACGTCGATGCTTGCGTAATGCGGAAGTGAGCGTGGTTAAATCTAAACTGGGTTGGAAAAACCATAGATATATATATATATATAGTGTTTATATATATATCTATGGGAAAAACGATAGACGCATACAAACAATGTATGCAGCATGCCTATATCATATGTTTACACAAAAAAGATATACATGTTAAAACTTTTCTTTCTATATGTTTACGGTTCTTAATAATTCGAAAAATCAATAAAACACTCTTTCTAGCTGTAGGGAGCATAAATAAGACGACGCGACGATGACTTGCACTTTTCAAATTTTTCGCGGGGTTCCCCCTTCTTTATTTTCTTCAAATCTACTTTGCTGATCGGCGACCACACAGTCTCTTCCGTCAGTCACACAGACAGCCAGCAGAGTGACAGGTGAATCCGGGAAAGGTGTGGAGAAAAATAGGTAATACGCTGACAGGTTTCTTAACATGAATTGCTCTGATATTCTACTTTTACGTTCGACTACCATTAAGTTAAATAACGTTTTTTTGTTTGACTAACTTTTGATCAAATCAAGCGTTTCTTAAACTAAGAGAAAGACACCAGCCAGTGGTCGATATTGTGGACTTTATTTTAGAATAGCAGATCTCTGCGACCAGCTATAGTTTGTCGGCTTAGTGTCAGTGAACGTGTGTCTCTGCTCCGATCGTGAGCTACACTGCAGCACCTCCCGCGGGACTCTGCTGCGGTTCCTCCGTGCAGAGCGCCCGTTTCCTAAACCATGCTATGCAGGTTCTAGGGGGGGGCAAACAGGGGCCAGTGCCCCCGTAACACTGACCAGGGACCCCCCTGTGGCTCCCCTCCAAAAAAAAAGTTACAATATTACGATTTATTGGAACTAAATCAAATCAGAGACCCGGATGTACAGTGGAGATTAAACTGTTCATTACCTTATAAAAGCAAATACTGTTTATGTTTTTTAATTAAATATGTCACTTAAAGTTACTAAAACAAATACTAAAAATGAAAAAAAACTACTGAAACACAGGACTAACTTAAATTGACCAAAACAAATACCAATTACTGTATTATATGTTTATTTTACAAAATTACTTTATACTGTCTTTGTCAATTTAACCCGCTTTTATTGTGCCCCTCTCATGAAATAACTGGCCCCAGCCTGATGCTATGTATGTGTGTGCATAAAGCTGAGATATGCATATATTTATTTCCTTTCTCTTTGAAAGTTTCAGAGGTTAAAGTGAGGCATGATGCAGAAATGAGAAATGAGTGAAGCAAAAAAGAGGAAACTTACAGACTTCTTTAAAAGGTATGCAAGACATCACTGCTGCTTAGCGTGTCAAAGCCATTTGTATCTTTTACTTATTCACCATAAGTTCCTTTGTTAATTATCCTACATTTAAATGCAGAGTTGAGCAGAACAAGGCAGGTGATGGGCGAGCAGGGAAGCTTGGAAAAGAGAGAGGATCAGAGCAGCGTAAAGAAGGGAAGGGAGTGGAGGAACGAGAGGAGTAGAGCAGGCTGAGGAGAGGAGAGCAGAGCAGACTGAGGAGGACAGAGGAGCAGGGCAGTTTGAGGAGGACAGAGGAGCAGGGCAGCCTGAGGAGAGCAGAGCAGCCTGAGGAGAGCAGAGCAGAGCAGCCTGAGGAGGACAGAGGAGCAGGGCAGCCTGAGGAGAGCAGATCAGAGCAGCCTGAGGAGGACAGAGGGGCACGGCAGCCTGAGGAGAGCAGAGCAGAGCAGCCTGAGGAGGACAGAGGGGCAGGGCAGCCTGAGGAGAGCAGAGCAGAGCAGCCTGAGGAGGACAGAGGGGCAGGGCAGCCTGAGGAGAGCAGAGCAGCCTGAGGAGGACAGAGGGGCAGGGCAGCCTGAGGAGAGCAGATCAGAGCAGCCTGAGGAGGACAGAGGGGCAGGGCAGCCTGAGGAGAGCAGAGCAGAGCAGCCTGAGGAGGACAGAGGGGCAGGGCAGCCTGAGGAGAGCAGAGCAGAGCAGCCTGAGGAGGACAGAGGGGCAGGGCAGCCTGAGGAGAGCAGATCAGAGCAGCCTGAGGAGGACAGAGGGGCAGGGCAGCCTGAGGAGAGCAGAGCAGCCTGAGGAGGACAGAGGGGCAGGGCAGTTTGAAGAGGACAGAGGAGCAGAGCAGGGAAGCAGTGTAGGAAAGGCTGACAACTTGCCTGACTGCTGGAATCAAAGTCAATTTGAATATTTGACACAGAAATATCCATTTCTAATAATTGGAAATAAAAAAATAGGATGCAAATCATGCAGGATCCCTTGGGGCAATGAGAACAGGGAAACAGAGGTACTCATTCTCTACTGAATGGCAGAACTGTAGGGTAGGCCCATATGGCAACAGCAATGAGAAGCAAATGAAATCTTTGAGAAAGAAAATAAATGAACATAGTGTCTCAGAGTCACAAATTAGCACAGGACATAGTAAAAAGACAAAATGAAGAAGCTTTAAAATCAAGCTTTCTAAAAACTCAAAAAGACATTTTGGCTTCCACCCATAATGTCTTTAGAACGGCATACTACATTGCAAAAAATAACCGGCCATACTCTGATCATCCTGGACTAATAGAACTACAAATGATAAATGGTGTAAATGTTGGCCGCGTACTCCACTCAAATGTTACATGTACAGACATTGTACATTTTATCTCAAAAGAAATGAGGGAAGCCCTATTGGCAAGTATCAAAGTGACCCGACCAAAGCTAACTGTTCTTGTGGATGAAAGCACATCATTAAGCAAGAAGTCTTGTCTTATTGTGTACCTAAGAACGTCAGTTGATAGCTCAGAGCCAGTGACCTTCTTCCTAGATCTTCTCGAGCTAGAGAGTACAACTGCAGATGGAATCATTAGTCAACTACTGAACTGTCTACAGAAATATGGTCTTGATCAGGGGTGGGCATTTTACGGCCCACGGGCCACACCCGGCCCGTGTGAGGTTGATCATAAATTATAACATAATGAAAAAAAACAGCAACCTTTTCAAAATAAAAGCAACACAGCTGTATTGCTTGCATGGCGTAAATACTTTTCTAACTGTGTTGCTTTTATTTTGAAAAGGGCGCTGCTGTTTTTTTAATTTATTTACGTAAACGCTTATGCCGTGAACAGCTACGAGTGATGCTGGCCGGCTAGTCCTCGAAATGTCCGCTAAGGGAAAAAAAAGAAAGATCGATACTGAATGCCGCGTTTTCAACAAGACATGGACCGCTAAGTATTTATTTACAGAAGTGAAAGGTAAAGCTGTGTGTTTAGTTTGTGGTGCGCAGGTCGCTGTGTTCAAGGAGTACAATTTGAGTCGCCACTATGCTACCAAACACGCAGATAAATACAAGAACCTGTCTGAGGAAGAGCGGGCAAAGGGGTCGGATGCTTTGCTAGCTAAGCTGCAAAGCCAACAACACATTTTCACAAAACATTCCACATCCAGAGATGCAGCTGTCAAGACGAGTTATGTCTTAAAAGTTAACCGTTTTCGGAGGGAGAGTTCATTAAGGAGTGTTTGTTGGACACTAATATGCCCGGAGAAAAAGGAGGCATTTGAGAAAGTGCTGCTCTCCTGACGCACTGTTACGAGGAGGATTGAGGACATCGCGGGAAATCTGGAGCTTCAGCTGCAGAACAGAGCGGTCAACTTTGACTTTTTTTCCTTGGCTTTGGATGAGAGCTGCGATGTACGTGACACTGCCCAGCTACTCATCTTCCTACGTGGGATAACTACAGACTTCAAAATCACGGAGGAGCTGACAGCCATGCAGTCAATGAAAGGGACAACAACAGCGAGTGATTTGTTCACGGAGGTAAATGCATGTGTGTAAAAGAGTTGGGACTGAAATGGGACAAGCTGGCAGGCGTGACAACGGATGGTTGTCCAAATCTGACAGGGAAAAATGTTGGACTATTGAAGAGAATGCAGGATAAAGTGACAGAAATTAACCCTGAGCAGAAATAGGTATTTTTGCATTGTATTATACATCAGGAAGTGTTGTGTAAGTCAGTGTTAAAAATTAACCATGTTGTTGATGTTGTAACTAAAATAGTTAACTTCATCAGGGCAAGAGCATTGAATCACAGACAGTTTGTTGCACTTTTGGAGGAAAGTGAGACTGAACATCGTGACATACCCTACCATGCAGCTGTCAGGTGGCTCAGCCTGGGCAAAGTGCTGAAAAGAGTATGGGACCTGAGAGAAGAGATTCAAGACTTCTGTGTGAAGAAAGGAAACGACATCCCACAGCTTTCAGATGCAGACTGGATGGCAGACCTTGGTTTTGCTGTAGATGTGACTGCACTAATGAGTGAACTAAATGTCAAACTGCAAGGCAAGGGCCTTTTTGTGCATGACATGTACAGTGCAGTGAAGGCTTTCATGAGAAAGCTGCAGCTTCTCTCAAGCCAAATGGAGGACAACATTCTCACGCACTTGCCAACACTGAAGGAAGCCACACCATCAGCTGATCACCTCCAGAGGTACTCATCCATGTTAGAAGCACTGCATGGTGAGTTTTCAAGGCGATTTAAAGACTTCAAAACAGTTGAGAATGAAATGAACATGATCTTTTCCCCATTTACATGCCATGTGGATGATGCACCCAGTGATGTTCAGCTTGAACTCATTGACCTGCAGTCTGACACACTTCTGTCAGAGCACTTTAGGTCAGTCTCACTGCCTGAGTTTTACTTTTCCCTGAAAGAGGAGAACTTTCCACACATCAGGAGACGTGCTCAGAAGATGATGGTCCTCTTTGGATCTACCTACATATGTGAACAGACATTCTCAGTGATGAAGTTCAACAAATCCAGATACAGATCCTCTATCACTGATGATCACCTCTCAGCTGTCCTTCGCATATCCACCTCAGACATTGAACCAGATTTCCGTGCACTTGTTCAAGCCCAAGACAGACTGGATTTTTCTCACTGAACAAGTAAAATTAACTGAAAAACAAAAATCAAAAGCACTCATTTCTTTTTGTATAAAGCTGATTCATTTCTTATCTTTAACATACTGTAAAACACCTTTTCAGTATTGGTATATTGAGCAGAATTAAGTTCAACTTATTTTTGATTCGGCCCCCCAACACAGCTCGAGTTTCTGAAGTGGCCCCTTGTAAAAAATAATTGCCCACCCCTGGTCTTGATGATGCTTTTCTGAAAGAATGTCTGGTGGGATTCTGCTCAGATGGAGCCTCCGTAATGGTAGGCAGAAAGAATGGTGTCTACACAAAACTGAGAAGTAAGTACCCAGGCCTCATAGGCTGGCATTGTCTAAACCAGGGGTGGGCATTTTACGGCCCGCGGGCCACATCCGGCCCGTTGGCCGGCCTTGGCCGGCCCGTGTGAGGTTGATCATAAATTATAACATAATGAAAAAAAACAGCAACCTTTTCAAAATAAAAGCAACACAGCTGTATTGCTTGCATGGCGTAAATACTTTTCTAACTGTGTTGCTTTTATTTTGAAAAGGAAGCTGCTGTTTTTTTTATTTATTTACGTAAACGCGCATGCCGTAACAGCTACGAGTGATGCTGGCCGGCTAGTCCTCGAAATGTCCGCTAAGGGCAAAAAAAGAAAGATCGATACTGAATGCCGCGTTTTCAACAAGACATGGACCGCTAAGTATTTATTTACAGAAGTGAAAGGTAAAGCTGTGTGTTTAGTTTGTGGTGCGCAGGTCGCTGTGTTCAAGGAGTACAATTTGAGTCGCCACTATGCTACCAAACACGCAGATAAATACAAGAACCTGTCTGAGGAAGAGCGGGCAAAGGGGTCGGATGCTTTGCTAGCTAAGCTGCAAAGCCAACAACACATTTTCACAAAACATTCCACATCCAGAGATGCAGCTGTCAAGACGAGTTATGTCTTAAAAGTTAACCGTTTTCGGACGAAGAGTTCATTAAGGAGTGTTTGTTGGACACTAATATGCCCGGAGAAAAAGGAGGCATTTGAGAAAGTGCCGCTCTCCCGACGCACTGTTACGAGGAGAATTGAGGACATCGCGGGAAATCTGGAGCTTCAGCTGCAGAACAGAGCGGTCAACTTTGACTTTTTTTCCTTGGCTTTGGATGAGAGCTGCGATGTACGTGACACTGCCCAGCTACTCATCTTCCTACGTGGGATAACTACAGACTTCAAAATCACGGAGGAGCTGGCAGCCATGCAGTCAATGAAAGGTACAACAACAGCGAGTGATTTGTTCACGGAGGTAAATGCATGTGTGGAAAAGTTGGGACTGAAATGGGACAAGCTGGCAGGCGTGACAACGGATGGTTGTCCAAATCTGACAGGGAAAAATGTTGGACTATTGAAGAGAATGCAGGATAAAGTGACAGAAATTAACCCTGAGCAGAAATAGGTATTTTTGCATTGTATTATACATCAGGAAGTGTTGTGTAAGTCAGTGTTAAAAATTAACCATGTTGTTGATGTTGTAACTAAAATAGTTAACTTCATCAGGGCAAGAGCATTGAATCACAGACAGTTTGTTGCACTTTTGGAGGAAAGTGAGACTGAACATCGTGACATACCCTACCATGCAGCTGTCAGGTGGCTCAGCCTGGGCAAAGTGCTGAAAAGAGTATGGGACCTGAGAGAAGAGATTCAAGACTTCTGTGTGAAGAAAGGAAACGACATCCCACAGCTTTCAGATGCAGACTGGATGGCAGACCTTGGTTTTGCTGTAGATGTGACTGCACTAATGAGTGAACTAAATGTCAAACTGCAAGGCAAGGGCCTTTTTGTGCATGACATGTACAGTGCAGTGAAGGCTTTCATGAGAAAGCTGCAGCTTCTCTCAAGCCAAATGGAGGACAACATTCTCACGCACTTGCCAACACTGAAGGAAGCCACACCATCAGCTGATCACCTGCAGAGGTACTCATCCATGTTAGAAGCACTGCATGGTGAGTTTTCAAGGCGATTTAAAGACTTCAAAACAGTTGAGAATGAAATGAACATGATCTTTTCCCCATTTACATGCCATGTGGATGATGCACCCAGTGATGTTCAGCTTGAACTCATTGACCTGCAGTCTGACACACTTCTGTCAGAGCACTTTAGGTCAGTCTCACTGCCTGAGTTTTACTTTTCCCTGAAAGAGGAGAACTTTCCACACATCAGGAGACGTGCTCAGAAGATGATGGTCCTCTTTGGATCTACCTACATATGTGAACAGACATTCTCAGTGATGAAGTTCAACAAATCCAGATACAGATCCTCTATCACTGATGATCACCTCTCAGCTGTCCTTCGCATATCCACCTCAGACATTGAACCAGATTTCCGTGCACTTGTTCAAGCCCAAGACAGACTGGATTTTTCTCACTGAACAAGTAAAATTAACTGAAAAACAAAAATCAAAAGCACTCATTTCTTTTTGTATAAAGCTGATTCATTTCTTATCTTTAACATACTGTAAAACACCTTTTCAGTATTGGTATATTGAGCAGAATTAAGTTCAACTTATTTTTGATTCGGCCCCCCCAACACAGCTCGAGTTTCTGAAGTGGCCCCTTGTAAAAAATAATTGCCCACCCCTGGTCTAAACCATAGGTTGGAGTTGTCTGTGTCAGATGCAGTCAAGCACTGCACCGAAACCAACCACTTCACAGCTTTTCTTGACAAGCTATACTGTCTCTATCATCAGTCACCAAAGAACTTAAGAGAGCTTGATGCTGCAGTCTCTGAAGTAGGTGTATGCTTGAGGAAGATTGGTCGCGTCCTCGGGATAAGGTGGGTGGCTTCATCTTTTAGGACAGTAAATGCTGTTTGGACCATGTATGCTGCACTCTATCATCACCTCACATCTGCAAGTGTAGATGTGAACCGTTCCTCAAATGATAGATGCATGTATGAGGGGCTAGCAGCAAAGCTGACGTCAGTTGCTTTTGTTAAAAACCTGGGACTGATGATGGATGCACTTGAGGAGCTGAAAGACCTGTCTGAGGCTCTACAGTCGAGAGACATTAGACTGTCTCAATCAGTAAATCTGATCAAAAGACAGCTAGATGTTTTTAAAACCATGAGCAGGAACCCAGACAGTGGTCTGTTCTACAAAACCGCATGTGAGGCAGAGCAGCAAGGTGTTTTTAATGGCATAACACTACGCAATGACCCAAGGCAGAAGATAATAGATCCCACAAGTTTTATGCAGCACTATGCAAAAGCATGGAAACAAGGATGGTCACAAGTGAAGAGGAATCCCTCTTTCAAAAGGTCAATGTTCTTGATACAAAGACATGGCCAAGCCCTCTACCATTAATGTATGGTGAGTGTGAAATAAGAGAGCTATGCACTCTTTTGAAAATCGGATTCTCTGGTTTTAAGCAAAGTTATAGGGACTTTAAGGAGAATGCCAGTGTGCCGATGCACATGTCCCTTCTAAAGCTTAAGAATGCAGTGGAAACCATTGCTGTGAGCAGTGCAGAGTGTGAGAGGGGTTTCTCAGAAATGAATGCAGTTGTAACATCAATGCGCTCACAACTGAAAACTCAAAATGTCTCTGCTCTAATGTTCATTCAAATGGTTGGACCTCCTCTTACCTCTTGGGACCCCACGAAATATGTGAGGAAGTGGGTGGCTACCAGAAGGTCTGCAGACCATTTAGCCTGTAGACAAAGATGCACGACTACACAGGCTTCCCCCTATCAGCCCATCTGGGATTTGATGAAGTAGCTGGTCGTACATACAGTAATGTTGTTGAACTGCTTATATTGATGTGGACTTTCATTCCTCAATCAATTCAGATAGGGTAATGTCTCTGTACTCATATAGTTGTTTTTTAATGTTCTTGAGTAAGTGTGCAGAGAAATGTTGACTTAAAATGGCAATTTGAAGGTCTGTAATTTGTGAAAAATGTTTGTGTATATATTAATAATTTCAAATGTAAATTCATTCCAGTTAAATAATACTAATAAAAAGACGGTCTATTTAACATACTTTCTATGTTTACTGTCTCGATTGGTGGCATCAAATAGTGCATCTGATACAGGAGCAGTTGCTTTAGGATTGGGCCTCATATATAGCCCGCAACACCCCCCCCCCCCACCCAAAAAAAACACAGCCCCCCCACATGTCAAATCCCAATTTAACCCCTGGTTGTACATATATATTTAAGAAGTACAATATGAGAAAAGCACAAGTTTCATTTGTGGGCCATATTTCATTATACGTTTTGAATTAGCTGAGGGCCGGTGTTATGCCGTAGATTGAAGCCTTGCCGTAGATTGAAGCCCTGTCCGCGGGGACGCGCACAGGTGACGTCATCGCCTGTATTGAGTTTCGCCGAGTTTTCAAAGCTTTTTTCTCTCTTTTGAATGATATATTTCCCATCAGATTAAACAGCAAACGGCTGAATAAATAATGTGCATACAATTGCAAGGTTGCTCGTTTTAAGGAAAGGCAATGAAAGGATAAGATGTCATTTGTCAGTATAGTCCTATTTCTTAAAACCTTCGCTGTTGTTTAAGTGTCTGATACTTGATAACCACGAATAGTAAGCAATGATATAACATATATGATAATGTAAGACACTGTGTTATTTTCAATCAAGCCTAAAAGATAATTTGTTCAAACTAGCTCCACTCGCTTTAATTGCTCCTTTGAATGTAATTTTCCTCTGTGGTTTCCTACTCAACACATTTTTGTATTGTAATGCCACTCATATTTTATTTTTTATTTTATTTTAAGGTGACATTGAATGTTTTGAAAGGTGCCCTAAAATAAAGTTTATTATTGATTAGTGCCTATATCACACTATTAATGTTCCTTATTTTAGACTAGGTTTTTCCTGGTGTCAATAGGGAAGATCTGCACTGTTCTCTACATAACATGTTCAGCAGAGCAGGTATTTCTCCTGCCAGATATGGCACCCCCCCCTACAACTTTGTCCAGGACAGTCACAACTTCACCAAAATCACATTGGTGTTTGCTGTTCCCCTCTAGTTTATGCTCACCAAAGCATTTTACTCTGAGCCCAGCAGGTGAAAATCTAAAGAGGGGCTTCCATATCCGGCAGAGAAGGTGTTGTAGCTGCCGGATTTGGAACCCCCCCTATCATTTTGTCCAGGATGGTCATAGACTCACCAAAATCACACTGGTGTTTGCTGTTCCCCTCTAGTTTGTGCTCACAAAAGAATTTTACTCTGGGCCCATTAGGTAAAAAACTAAAGAGGGGCTTCCATATCCGGCAGAGAAGGTGTTGTGGCTGGCTGCCGGATATGGAAGCCCCCCTATAATTTGTCACCTGCTGGGCCCAGAGTAACATGCTTTTGTGAGCACAAAGTAGAGGGGAACAGGCAACACCAGTATGATTTTGGTGAAATTGTGACTATCCTGGACAAAGATATAGGGGGGCTTCCAAATCCGGCAGCTACAACACCTGGTCTGCCGGATATGGAAGCCCCTCTTTAGTTCTTCACCTGCTGGGCCCAGAGTAAAATGCTTTGGTGAGCATAAACTAGAGGGGAACAGCAAACACCAGTGTGATTTTGGTGACAGTGTGACTGTCCTGGACAAAGTTGTAGCGGGGGTGCCATATCTGGCAGCACCTGGTCTGCCGGATTTGGAAGCCCCTCTTTAGTTTTTTACCTGCTGGGCCCAGAGTAAAATGCTTTTGTGAGCACAAACTAGAGGGGAACAGCAAACACCAGTGTGATTTTGGTGAGTCTATGACCATCCTGGACAAAATGATAGGGGGGGTTCCAAATCTGGCAGGAGAAATACCTGCTCTGCTGAACATGTTAGAGAACAGTGCAGATCTTCCCTATTGACACCAGGATTAACCTAGTCTAAAATAAGGAACATTAATAGTGTGATATAGGCACAGATATAAGATCAATAATACACTTTCTTTTAGGGCACATTTCAAAGCATTCAATGTCACCTTAAAATACAATAAAAAATAAAATATGAGTGGCATTACAATACAAACATGTGTTGAGTAGGAAACCACAGAGGAACATTACATTCAAAGGAGCAATTAAAGCGAGTGAAGCCAGTTTGAACACATCTTTTAGGCTTGATTGAAAATAACACAGTGTCTGACATATGTTATATAATTACTGTTATATCATTGCTTATATTCGTGGTTATCAGACACTTAAACAACAGAGAAGGTTTTAAAAAATAGGACTACACTGACAAATGACATATTATCCTGTCATTGTCTGTTCTGTAGGAAGGAGGAACATAACAGAGTGGACTCAAAAACGGAAGTTTGTTCCAATACGAAGATTGTGACGGATCTGAAAAGTGTCCTTAAAACGAGCCTCCACGCAATTGTATGCACATTATTTATTCAGCCGTTTGCTGTTTAATCTGATGGGAAATATATCATTCAAAAGAGACAAAGTAAATAGTATCTTTCGTTTTTCCGCTTAGAAAACGAGGCGAACGCTCAATACAGGCGATGACGTCACTTTGCTCGTCCCCGCGAACAGGGCTTCAATCTACGGCAAGGCTTCAATCTACGGCATAACACCGGCCTCCGGGCCGTAGTTTGGACCGCCCTGGTTTAAAGTGTTAATTAAGAGTAAAGGGAACAGACCTGCTCTGTGTATCCGAAGCTGAGGCTGTAAAACAGCGTCCAGTAGTTTCTGGAGTCTCTTGTTCTCCTCTTTTGAACAAGACAGCTCCTCCTCGTACTCTGCTATCGTTTTTTCAAACACAGCAAATATCTCTTCAGTAGTGAGTCGCTGCTTCTTCAACGACAGCAGCATTTGGATTTTACTCATGTTTACTCGATCACCTTTTCCTGCAAACTCCGTTAAACACACTGTTTCTTTCTCTCCATCAAACTCTCAATCTGACTAGTGTTGCCAACGTGTTTCCAGATAGCATGCTAAACTAGCTCCTATAGTCCGAGGTAAACGCTCCAGAAAAAGAGCACACAGTCCAATCGGAGGTTTATCCAAACACACAGATGATGGATCAGTAGTGCTGGAGCTCACAAACGCTTTCTCAGGAACACACAGAGAGAGAGAACCGTAGCGACGAGACGCCACCTGGATCCAGTGTGACTACCCGATCTGAATCCCTGCCCGATTTGCAATGCGCATGTGCGAGATGGACAACTACTTCTTCTTCTTCTTCTCTTCGTTTTTGGCGGATTGCAAACAACTTAAAAGGTGCATACCGCCACCTACTGTACATGAGTATGAATCATCATAACATACCAACTCTTTAACCTATGATCTAATCAAAATAAATCAAAATAAATAAATCAACAAAAAACATGAAATAAATAAAACAAAAATAAAAATCTATATTCTTTCCTGACCTAATGTTAAATTATTTTTCCTACCCCAGTTTCACTCAAGAATGTAAACAGTGCCTTTCTGGTAGCTCTTACTCCCTCTCCTTTTGTTCCCAAAACACCAACCACACTCCATTCCCTCTCTGCCTCTAAAACTTTAGCCTTTAGTTTTTCTCTTTCAGCTTTATAGATGTCACAATGTAACAAGATATGTTCTACATTTTCTTTTACTCCACAGTTCCCACACTTGTCACTGTCACTTTTCCCCATGATATACAGCGTACCATTCAAAGCCGTGTGATTTATTCTGAGTCTAGCGATCGTGATTTCCTCCCTTCTGTTTCTTTCTTTATAAATATGAATTGTAATTGTCTTTTGTACTTTGTGATAGTCTTTGCCTTTCTGGTCTTTCTCCCACCTTTTCTGCCAGATCTCCATCCCTTTTTTCTTAATTACTGCTTTTCCTTCTCCTTTACCAAGTTGAACTGGTAATGTTTTTTCCTTTTGTAGTGCACTTTTTGCTAATTTATCAGCACACTCGTTCCCTTTCACCCCCTCATGTGCAGGCACCCAGCAGACCTGCAGATCTATACCGCCTCTGTGCAGTCTTAACAGGCTATGATTCAGTTCTATGAGAATGTCTTCTCTGGCAGTTGTTGTTGATTGTATGCTTTTTAATATGGATAATGAATCTGTGCACATCACCACCCTATCTGGTCTGACCTCTTCAACCCACTGTAATCCTATTATTACTGCCAGCATTTCTGCTGTGTACACTGATAATTGATCAGACGCTCTTTTTGAAATAGATATTTTAAATTCTGGGATGTATATACCAACTCCAACACACTCTTCCTTGTTCTTAGAACCATCTGTGTAAATGTGTAGGTAATTGTAGTACCTTTCATTCAGATACATACTTGTTTTAATTCCCACTTCATTTATTTGCCTCTCTTTTTTCCTTTCTACAATACTCATATCTATGTTAGCTTCTGGGAAGAGCCATGGGGGAACACTACTAAATGGGGTTGCTTTGGCAAACGTGATATTCTTATTGGACAACTAGATACGGCACCCCAAATATGACACTTGACACAGTGGCGTTTGGCAAAGCAGAAAACAAACAAAAAACGACAATATGAATCTGAACGAGAGAGATGAGTTATTGTTATTACAACGTGACTTCACTATTATTTAACAACTCCTTTTATTGGGTTAAGTACATTCTCAGAATAAGTGAGAAATGGATTTAACTTCTGTTAGACAGCTATCATACTGAAGAAATATTTACTGTGAATGTATGCAAAAATGTATGGCATTCATAATTTATATCTAATTACATTAACTGTGAATGTCTTTCATTTTATTTCAAATTACATAAAAGATTTTCCATAAAAAAGTTGATTCAAGAACAAATCTCTGTTATTAGATCAGTACTTTTCTTATATGACTATTATAGCTACATTTGAAAGATCTTTACCA